AAATACCACTAAGAGCATCAAACGCAGAGGTTCTACATTAAAGTTTGAGGAGCTGAAGAAAATAAGCAACAGGACAGAGCAGAAACGTACCAACAGAGAAATCTAAACTGCTGAAAATTATCAACTACATCAGCTTTGAGAAGGAATATGAGGGTGTAAGAGTCTCTAGTTAAATGGTTCCCGAGTATTAGATTCTGTTCTCATCCACACTGACCTCTCTTCCTAACTTCTGTATACTTGATTTGTCATTTGAATTCATCTCTCAAGATACGGCCACAAACTCTTCGCCACTACCACCGCCAGGTTCACGTTTATTGTAGACACTCAACACTGTTCCCTTCTGCCATCCAAGTGATGTCTGACTTCGCTGGACCAAGTAGCACAGAGGACCATGCCACATGCCCTACCCCTGTCCTTTTATAAACGTCACTCATATAACCATGGCATCAAATAAGCATCTAATGCGTAAAATTCACAACTGAGCCTAACTCGCATCAACTCAGCGGTTTGACCGTGTGAATAAAAATCATGAATTTCACTCAGATGTTTGTGTTTTCTTATCTCTACAATTTCCATCAAGAAAATTTAGCCCGAAGTAACAGAAATAGCCCAAAATGGTTTGTTTAGGATGTTGATTTTAAGGAAGCATGAGCTAGAAGTCTAGAATCAGTTTTTATCTCCTATTTAAGGATGTCCATGTTTCCACTTCCTGTCTTTAGATGATGCCCAAGTACTTCTCAGTTCTTTAAAATGCCTCAAAGTTTAGCTTATTTCCTAAATTTACATCCTAAGAACTATGACTGTGAAAGCAATATTTCATTCACTATAAATTCTTCCCTATGTCTAGTTTATCCTGGATTGTAAAACAAGTATATAAAATCTATGTCATCAATTCTGAACACTCCTTTTGGCATATACACTGGGAGAATTCATGTTTAAAAATAAAATAAAATAATGCTCAGAACTTCAAGGACAGGAACTGGGAGACTATATCATCCAAGGGCCCTTCTTGGTCTGCCAGCTTTATCAGACTAACAGAGACTCATAGGAAATGAAGAAGAGAAGATTTTCAAGTTAACAAAATGTGTAAGATCAGAAGATATTAAAAAGGAAGCTAAGACGTTAAGGCAGAAACCACATGTACTGCAGGGAAAGCCAGACGATTTTCAGATAATAATGCCCAGAGTGTTTCTGTAGACTGTACATAATGGAAGGAGCCTATTATAGCCATGTTCTTTTTCCTTAAGCTGAAAACTTCTTACAAAATTTTCTTCTTTAGGTTTTCGGATGTCAGGTGCTTGGGAGGGTGGCTCTTTCCTGAAACTCACCAGCAACGTAGCTGGAACATTTTTATTGTCCATGTTTGTGTACATTTAACAGCTGTAAGTCTGACTGAATTATCAAGACGTTTTTACTTCTATACACATTGTCTTCCTATGTTCCTTTAATATGAAAACTCACTAGTGTTTTCTTCCAGGGTAGAATTTTAGGTATTATTTTTTTAGATGACAGGACCTTTCTCTTGATTAACCTGAGACTAAGAAATAAACTTTTAAAATGAGGATTTTTTTTTTTTAAAGATAGCAACATACAGGGCTTCCCTGGTGGTGCAGTGGTTGAGAGTCCGCCCGCCTGCCAATGCAGGGGACATGGGTTCGTGCCCCGGTCCGGGAGGATCCCACATGCCACAGAGCGGCTGGGCCCGTGAGCCATGGCCACTGAGCCTGCGCGTCCAGAGCCTGTGCTCCGCAACGGGAGAGGCCACAACAGTGAGAGGCCCGCGTACGGCAAAAAAAAAAAAAAAGATAGCAACGTACAAAACCCTGAAGTTTGAGTAAAAGGAGGTGAATATACAGGGCAGTACAGTAAACTCTATTGCGGGAAACTGCTGCCCCCTTTCCAGTGCCCCCTAATTACGCAAACCTTTTGAAGAGCACTTTAACAAGTCTGCATTACAGACGTCACTTTTGCTTTCCTTTAATGCATTTAAGGGTCATGCTAGATGATAACTGTTACTTGACTGATGTATGCAAACATCTCCCTTCCTACACGGTGTTAACAGCTAGGTAACAGAGTTTTCATACCAAAGCCAACAGGAATAACTACATTGTGAAGAGGTGAAGCACAACAGTCCCTTCATAAATGGCTTATACAAAGAACAGAGGAATTTTAGAACTTAGATATTGTCTAGTCCAGCACTCAATTTGGCCAAGGTCATCGTGTTGGAGGAACTAAGAATCAAGGTCCACGTTCTCAGTTCAAAGACGGTTTCACTATTCCAGGCCGATCAGCCATCAATTAAGACGTGAATTTTTCTCCTCTACCCTTTATTCTCATTCCCACTCTAGCACCTTACCTCAGTTTACTCAGTCTTTTAGCTTGGAGATTTTTTCTAACAAGATTACCTCAACCATATACATAGCCAACACTTTGCTGTCCACCCTCCTTTTTAGAGGCTTTCTTGAATTTAACTTTCATGGTATAAACCATTCAGTATTTCCACCTCACTGTCCTCTCATCTCCCTACTGCCCTCTTATCATGGGTGCTGCCCAAGACTCCATCTTCCACTACGCTCTTCAATCGACAACCTGGACTGGTTCCCATAACTCTAGCCCTGACCTTTCTGAGTTCCAGATTCGCGCCTCCAGGTGTTTCCCGAATATTTTTACATCCTTATGTCCTCAAACTCAGTGTGTGCAAAATTACGTCATCTCTCCTTCCATGCATTTTACTCAGTTTCCTAAGAGTATCCTCACTTTTCCATTCGGTTATCTGACTCCTCCTCTACATGTACCTGTCCTACTGATTTTTGTTTTGTTTTGTTTTTGCGGTACATGGGCCTCTCACTGTTGTGGCCTCTTCCGTTGCGGAGCACAGGCTCCGGACACACAGGCTCAGCGGCCATGGCTCACGGGCGCAGCTGCTCCGCAGCATGTGGGATCTTCCCGGACCGGGGCACGAACCCGTGTCCCCTGCATCGGCAGGCGGACTCTCAACCACTGCGCCGCCAGGGAAGCCCTGTCCTACTGATTTTTAAAAACTTCTTTATGCTCCTTTTTGAACTTTTTCTTTTGGTTCCCCCCAAAACCTCCAGAAACTATAATAGGTTTTCATCAGCCTCTCAACCAGTCTCCCCATCTCCAACTCATCTTCTTGTTTCTTAAATGTCTGCTTCATCATGTTAATCTGTTGTTCAAAAAGTCTTTCACTTTTCTCTATTAGGTGCTTCCTCTGTAACCAGATGGGTCTACTATTTTCCCACTGTATTTTCCCATTCCTCTGCCTGCACACAATAAATCCTACAGCTAGAGTACACATCCTTTGTCACCTGTTCACATCCTGATTGCCTTCAATGATGGTTCAAGCCCCGTCTCTTCACTGAAGCTCTCTGCTACGGTTCTTGGACTTACTATCTATACACCATGATTTCTGATGCTCAATTGCCAGCTGTTTCATAGGTTAACTTTTTTTTTTTTTTTTTTGCGGTACGCGGGCCTCTCACTGCTGTGGCCTCTCCCGTTGCGGAGCACAGGCTCCGGACGCGCAGGCTCAGCGGCCATGGCTCACGGGCCCAGCCGCTCCGCGGCATGTGGGATCTTCCCGGACCGGGGCACGAACCCGTGTCCCCTGCATCGGCAGGCGGACTCTCAACCACTGCGCCACCGGGGAAGCCCTATAGGTTAACTTTTTAATGTGCCTATCTTCCTGGTATAGCTGTAGGAACCACATCTTACCTGTCTGCTGCTTCTGAAACTTACCTACTAACTGTATTACGTTATCAAAAAAATGAGGTGTAGTAGTTAAGAGAACATGATTAGGAAGCAGAAAATTCTAAGTTTAGATCCTGGCTTTGTTCCTTTCTAGATGGGTGACTATGGGCAAGTTACTTAACCTCTAGAAGCTTTCATGTCTGTAAAACAGAGATAACGCCACTTATTTCACAGGGCTGTTGTAAAGTGTAACGTGTGTGTGTGTGTATGTGTGTGTATGTACACACACATACACACACACACACACACACACAATGTTTAACATAGTATTTGGTCTGTAGTGAGTGTTTTTTTTTAAACAGATGGCTGTTAACAATTTTGCACCTAATAGGCACTCCTCTTCGGTCAATATTTTAAACTGCAAAGGTCATGTTAAATATTTTTTCATAACACGCTGTCAAGATTTCATTTCATGTGAAGTTTTATACCACTGAGCACTGTATTTAGCCAAAAGTTACTTTTCTAAGCTACATTACAGAAGAGTAGGAAAAACAACTTTTAACTTTCAAGCTGTGCCCAGATGCCAAGACTCAGTGTACGAACTGTGTAAGATCAGTTTCATTCCACATATATAACCCAAGCCAGCATGACTTTCAGCAAGCACCGCTTAAAGAATGCAGTTAAAGAAGAACTCAAGAATCTTTGGTAAGGCTAGAAAAGTTTCCAGAAAGCCCAGCCAATGGATAAAGATTTTGTGAGATAGGATTGCTAGAGCCTGTCAAAAACCGGAGCTCCATGATTAGAGACCATGGCCCGCTTTTTCTAGGAAGAAGGGGATAAGCTTTCCTTCAACCAACAAGTCAATTACTGACTCTAATTAATGGCTTTAAAAGACATAATGAAAATGTTGCAATCTACTACATTTAAAAACTGAGGACTTGATCTTTTGTTGGTTGAGGTGATCTTTTTTTCCTAATGAAACATACAGTCTTTTCTCCCTTGTGCAGCAGGTCACAACTTTCCCTAGGTTAAGTTATACTGTATTAAAAAAAAAAAAATCCTCCACTAAGGTTCCAGGAACTTTCCACCAAGAGCATCTATGATCTTGCAGGAGAGGCTGCATCAGAGAACAAGTTAATGCCACTGACTCCTTTTGCCTTGACGTGGGCCTCCCACAGTGATGAGCAGCCATAGGGCAAGTGTCTCTCTACACCACTACCCAGACTGACGCCCTTCAAAGACCCCTCATTATCTCTGCACCCCTGGGCAGGGAAATCACATGGCCTTACCGCAGACGTTAGACGACAAAGAATTTCATCGCTGCTCTCTTCTGAGTCTTCAATTTTCTGATGAGATCTTTGAAAAACAAAGAATAAATTACTCTTCAGCTTTGGTTGTTCAAGTTTATTCACCAAGTGATGGGGAATACATGGTAAATAATAGCATTATTGCTTAATACATTAGTGAAAGTGCCCATGCGAGTAACACGGTGACAATAATGCCATAGGATCACAGCTCTGTTGCAGCCCAACTCTTCCTTCGAAATCAATTAGCAAGAACGTCTTTCCCATACATCAGTTAAATCCTGAGGGCTGCGTACTGCTCTCCAAATGATACCACAGAATAATCCTGACACACCAGATTTACAAACACGGGCATGCACAGAGCACAAGTGGATGGCGAATATAACGTAAAGTACTGACATTCCCGCTCAGTCTAAATGAAATCCAGATTCCAAAAATATGAAACATGAATTTTCCACTACATCTGAGTTTCAGCCCAAACAGATTTATTATGAAATGGTATATTAGAAGCCTAATACTGTGATAGGAATTACGTTCAATACAATAGCAGAAGCACTTTGGTCTTTTTTATGAGACCATAGCCCAGTTGAGAAGAAAATTATGCATGTGTTAAATAACTAAGGAGACATACAACATAATACACAGTATGAGATCAGTGTGTTTAGAAAAATCATCTTTCTAATGTAATTCATGAAAAATTTTCACCGCACGAATGTACATGCTAACATAAAAAATTATCTACTTCAGGCAAATCTTATAAAATTACATTTTTTTTCCTGACTTGGTCAAAAGAAAAAAACATTGACTAATGCCAAGTGAATAAATGTAATTGTCTCCCAGGTCTATTTCCACAGGCAATTCCTTTCAACACCTGTGGACTGGGGGAGATTGGTGGTAATTGCCTTGCAGAGTGGCGGTATGGCACTGGCAGTCCAGTGATTGATTTCAGTCTCGGGAACTGCAGTGGGCCAGCTGGAGCACGAGCCTCGCGGGGCAGGAGGGCTTCTCCTGGCTCCTAAGACAGCTAGGAAGATGCTCTTTAAGAAAAGAAAAGCCAGTCGAATCAATTCTGGCACTGGCTTCCTGTTTCTGTAAATGTTATTAAACCCCTTCAAAAGAAAAAAAAAATCCCACCCTTCAAGTCAGAGCAATGAATTACAAACTACTGCCTTTACAAGAATTGCATGTTCTGGATATGAAACAGTGGGCATGTTGTCAAATAATTTCATTCCTAGCGCAGCAAAGCATCTGAAACATGACCTTGATAATGAACATTTCAAACAATGAGCCTTATTATTAAAATGATCTATTCACAAGGTTTCCACACACACGAAGTTACACTGAGAAGAGATCTGCAACCCTTTATAACATAAGCCACCAAACTAGGTTTATAAGATTATGCCGAGGTGACAAACAGATCTGAGGGGAAATTAGGAGCCAAGAGCATTAGACACAAGAGCACCAAACAAGGGCTTCAACGTCCCGTCTGTGTCTGTGTTGAAGTGCAAGCTGGTCGTGCCCACTCATGCCTCTCAGCCCCCAGCAGCACCTGAAGGATGAGTTAACGTGCATGACGTATTTTGCATTAGCACAGATTCTGTCATGAATGTGTTTTCAACAAACTGCTGAAAGGAACTCAAAACTCCAAGGGAAGCTCTTGTGTATGTCACTGATCGTGGCTATTTGATGAGTAATGGCCAAGCTGTTGCTAGCTCAGTGACAAATAATTTGTCTCTGTTCAAGCAAAACTATCTTTCATCACGCTTCCAACACAAAACACGCCTTGGCAGAAACGTTTCTAAAGGAAATACATGTAAGACAGACAGGGTGATGCTCTCCCGAGAGCTGTCCCACAGCCCGTGTCCCATTTTTATCCCCTCAATCACCGTAATTTATACCCAGAGCTCCCAAGTCCTTCTCTAGCCCCTGAATCTTCCCCGAGCTCACCCTGTGTTTCCATCTAAGTTCAATGTGGCTCTAAGTGGCCATTCCAGAACATCTTCACCCACATGGGAATCTCACAGGCTCCTCAAACTCGACGTAACTTCCACTGACATCCTCTTGCCTCCTGCCCTCACCGGTTCTGCCAGCGCCTGTCACCACTCAGCTTTATGTCACCCTGCGGCCCTTCCCCACCTCCGGCACTCACTCCCACCGCTTTCCAGTCACCAGATCCTCCTCTGCTCTGCTCTCCTACTTTCCTCTCCACGAGCCGTGCTGACAGGCCCTCACCTCCACAACTTATTTTAACCACCTTCTAACCAACTTGTCTCTGCCTCTCCTCCTGTACCCCATCTCCTAGAGATGCCGGGATTCTCCTTCTAAAACCCTGATCTGGTCCTGCTTTTCTCCAGACTCACACCTTCAGGGATTCTCCCACTGCCTGCTCGAGAATTCAGAAAGACTCTTCCTTTCCGCTAGGGAGTCCCAGGTCGGCCCTGCACCAGCAGGTACCTGCATGGCACCTGGCGTAGAGAAGGGACGTGGGAGCAGGACTGAGGGGGACAGGCAAGCAGTGGGAGAGCTTGAAAGGGGGGAAGGAAGAGAGAAGGGTGATGCTCCCCGACTCCCCTTCCTGCCTCACCACTGTGGCCCCTCCCCGGCTTAATGCCCAAAGGCCCAGAAGTACCAGACTCTCTTTCCCCAGTAAACGTATTTTTACAAAATGAGATAAATTCTGATTATTTTATGATATAAATACACATCAGTGCAACTCAGTGAAGACAACGTCCTCACCTGTCAGATCAAAACAGTAACGAAACAGGTGGGGCAAAAGGGAGAATAAAGGAAAGAATCAGCTGTAATACATAGTACACCATTTTACATAAGTGACTCGAGCGTCCGTGGATTTTGGTATCCGTGGGGGTCCTGGAACCAATCCCCCACGGATACCAAGGGAGGACTGTACTTGCATATTTGCCCCAGTGTTACCAAAGGGGGCTGTGCTGCTCAGTGAAGAAGAGACGAAGAGAGACTCTGGTTGGAGAAGGGGACAGAGAAACCCTGGCTGGACTCAGCCACCAATGGCAGTGACAGGTTGACATAAGAAAGAGAAGAAAAAAGGAAGTGGCCCCAGGAAGGAAGACCCATCTTTGAGGGTTTGTGCCAGCAGGAAGCTCTGGCACAACGGGGGTCCCCTTTGTGAATTCTCACGGCTGCTTCTCAAGGTCTCTGCTTGCCAACAGCCCAAGCCTGACCCTGTAACCCTCCAAGGCAAGTGCCGGATCCTAGTACTGTGAATCCTAGTGTGTCGAATCCTAATGCCTAGTCTTTGTAAATGCACGAGGTCTGCAATATCTAAGGGTGCCGTTGTGAGGACACAGGAACGGCAAAAGCCTCTGGTCCTCTGCCCTTGTCCCTCTAACCATCAAACAGGACACATGATCATTCTACTCAACCCCCACCGAAACCAAAACCAACCCCTGCCCTCCCTACAGGCTTCCCCCGCTTAACTACAGGCAACTCCATCCTTCCAGTTGGAAGTAATCCTTGAGCCCAACAGCCCGCCGCCCGCTTTACAGTCTACGCTGTGTCCATCCCCAAATCCTATCAGCTCTGCCTTCAAGGGATATCTCCCTTTTGACCATTTCTCACCACCTCTACTCCAACTGCTGTTGCTCCAGCCACGGGATCTCTCACCTCGGCCCAGGAGCCAGAGTGGTCTTGTTCATATGTAAGTTAGATCATGTCCCCCCTCTGCTCAAAATCCTCAACTGACTCCCTGTCTTTCTCAGTATAAAGCCAAAGCCTCTACAGGGGCTGACATCTCTCACTTCTCTACTCCATTCCAGTCACTCCTGCTTTGCCTTAATGCTTCTGTCTTGGGCCTTGCCCTGACGGTCCCCTTATCCTAGAACACTTCCCTCACATTGCACACTGCTTCTTCCCTCACATCCTTCAAGTCTCTGTCAACCTCCTGAAGAGGCCTTTCCTGACCCGTATCTCTATCGCTCATTTCCTACTTTATTTATCTGCATAAAGTTTTCCACCATTAACTAACATAAATCTGTTTGTTTATGAAATTGCCTGTCCTCTCCCCTCCTAGACTAGAGGCTCCACGGGAGTAGAGATTTCTGTCCGTTTTGTTCCTGCTTCCATCCCCAACACTTAGAACACAACACAGTCCATAGGAAGCATTCAATAAATCTTCACTGAATAAATTGAGGACCTTAAACTTCAGGGAATGCTCTGCTATCAGCCACCATCCCCGGACGACCACAGCACAAGACATTAGCTTGTTCTCTGCAGTCAGTTCAACTGAAGGACCCTGCTTATACTCGAGCTATTTCCCTCAGCTATTCCATCAGCCTCCCAGCTCCCTGTAGCAGTCCCTCCTCTCAGTGACCTCCCTGTCTCTAAAATCCAACATGAATGACTTTCTTATACCAAACTCTAAAGAGCTGTTAACTTTGAAAATATCTTAAATAAAATAACAGCAACCAATGGTCACCCTCACTTCCTCATCTTCCCCTAAGAAATAATTAGTACAGTCTTAGTGACAGTTTCCAACCTGGCCAACTGTTTGACAATCATTTACACAATTCATACTGCATCAGAAAAGCAGCAGGAAATTCCCCACCGCAAAAGGTCTCCCAACACAAACTCTCAGCTCTGAGAGGGCTAAACAGTCACGTAGGGTTGATTTCCCAAAAAAAAGCCTTAGGAAGTAGCACACAAGAGCCATTATCTGGGCGGTAGAATTCATTTTATACCAGTCAGGTCCAGTATAATTTCTAGAAACTTGGGTTTAGCTGGTATTCCTGCAGGGGTTCCCAAAATTCTCTTAGCAAAAATTCCTTCATGAGAATTATGTAATGAGTTTGAGATTATTCCAATGACGTTTTTCAAAATAAAGCTTACCATAAATCTTCTATATGAGAGATAGAACCCACACTCCTTAATCAGGTTTTGACCAAAATATTTGTGACTCAAGATTCAAAAGCAACTAGTATCATCTTGTAATTGGAAAATCCTGCGTCCTTTTCAACAGTGGAAGAGGTTTCCTGGGATTTCAGGATGGAAAACTGGAAGCATTTCTTATAGAAATATTAC